AATATCTCCATAGAAGTCAGTAGTATAGTTTGCTCATACAGTTACCATATATTAAAGAAGTTTATTTATTTAGTATATTTTCAAGGTAATATTTCAACGTTCATTAAAAGGCATCATCATCTGAAGTTATTTTGTTATTGGCATAGTAGATTAAAAAAAAAGGTTATATTTTCTCAAATATCAATAAAATTTGATCTATTGCTAATATATACATAACTAAACATTATCAAGATTATAAATTTTAAATCTATTGATGATAATCTATATAGTGTGTTGTTCTTTGATATTAACATACGAATCAAGTTGAAATGAATGTTTTTTCTTTGTTCTTTATATATATGTCTCAATGAGTTTCAATAATCAGATGCTAGCTACCGCAAAAAGAATATCATACTCAATACATTATGCCATACGATACAATGTTCTAATTATTTCAATGGTATTTTTATCTAAGTTAAATCTATTTATTTTTATTGATATATACATAATATAGAAGAGAAATATAAGAAAATCTACAAGAATTAACTACAAAATATTTTTCTGATAATATACAGAACATTTAAATCTATAGCAGAACTCTACTAATAGGTGTAAAGAATCATCGTTATCAGAAACAGATAGATATTATCAATATTAACTTGTTATATTGACTCTTATACAAATACAAATCATGATCGTTCACCATTAGCTGTATATATTGTATAGTGTAAAGTAGTTATAAAAGGAGAAATCTTTCGATAGCCAATCACTTTTCGGGAAAAGTTTTTTTTTTGTCGCTTTTTTTGCATATTAGCTAGGTACAAATTGGCCGGAAAGTAACTTTGATAGAAAAAGATTGCTGACTTTCATCTGAAATTTGACGCGTTTTTTTTCTGGGAATATGTAATAAAGACTGCGCAAGTTACGATAATACTTTGAACTCATATTTTGTTCATTATAGATGTATTATTAGACTAGAAATACCTTCAAGAGATGCATCTTTTGATTAAGATCTGAACTCATTCTACAATTTTTCTCTAAAGAGAATTTTTTTTAACGATATACGTATTGTCAATAAACATTCAACTACTTATTTATTGTTCATATTTCTAAATGAGTAGCTATTTTGATAAACAATTATTTAGTTGTTTTCTTGTCAATCTTTCTGAGTACATAGCTCATGAATCCCTATCACTATTTAATAAATATTCATAGCCATTTTAAATATCGTTTGACTATTGAATTATTATGATTGATTTTTCTTTTAGTTGAAATTATTGAATATAAAATTGATTAAAAGAATAGAAACATAAATGCTGTATTTGCAACATATTTGCTGTTATTTTGATTTTTCAATAACAATGATTAATTTTCCAAGTGATCTCATAGAAAATCAATAATAGACATTTAAGTATAAAGTAGTAAAATTTATCAGAAAGAGATTAGAGCGTAGCAAAATATCTAAGATGCATTCAATCGTAAGTCAAAGATTACGACATCCGATTTATGAATTTTCAATAGACTTCCTCTGAAAACGCCTCGTGTTTCTTGACCTGGAATGTCATTAGAAAAATATCAATTATAAGAAAATGTTTTATATGCATACTATGAAAAAAGGAACGTACATTGTATGATGCATTAAATAAATAATACATAGATAAAATGAAAGCAAATAGAAAACATCATTCAAGCAAATAAACTATTTGAATCATTTTTTTTCAATAGTTATTAAACCTATTAAGTAGCTATAATAATTTTTTAATATAGCTTGGTTTAAATAGTTGGTAACATGAAGAAGTGCAATAAACGAAAAGTTGTTACAAAACAATTTGTTACTTAATATTATTTCAAAAAAAATAATATATATATATATATTTTTTTGAGAAGCTATGTGAGAGATTTGATCTAGATAAAAATGTTTCAAAACATGAAGATTTTCCATATTTCTATAATTTTATAAAAGTATTTTGTCTATAGATACTACATAGTGTTCTAATAAAAACTAAAAGAATTTAGGTTTCTATTGAGATTTGACTGAACTATTGAATTTTTTTCTAGAAGTCTTAGGTTATTGCTTCTGAGTCGGAACTATATGCAACATGTAGGTTCTAATGAGCTATGAATACCCTTAAGAAGAGTTCAGACTAATAGGTTATTACTGCTGAGGTACTGTATTTTGTAGTAGAATGTCATGGCCTTCTTCAGAAAAACTGAATTTTGACTTAAAACTTTACATAGAGATACGTCTTAATGAAATAGTCTATTAAAAAGTTTTTCGATCTATTCTATGATATGGTTATGGTAAAAGCATGTTTTTCATACCGTTCATATACTTTATGCAAAGTTTTAAATTGAAATTCGAAAATCAATTTTTCTGGTGTTTCTGAGGAAGACCACGGCATCTCGACAGCAATAAGCTATTAGCCTAAACTCTTTTCAGAGTATCGATAGTTTATTAGAATCTACATGATGCATATAGTCTCAGCTCGAATGTGATATGATACTTAGAAGCGTTTCCTCATTAGTCGAATCTCAACAAGAATCGAAATCGGAAGGGAATATCTAAGAAGATTTTCTCGTAAATTAATTTAATCATATTGTTGTTTACTTTTGAATTTTAAAATTTAATACATTTCTTATTCTTTTTTTTGTTTTTGTTATTAGCTTTAATCACAGTTATTAATATTGTTATTGTTGTCAATTTGTATCGTGTTTCTCATGCACCATTTCATTCGTATACAAATGAGGATAAAATAGATCGACAACATTCATCAATACATATTACAAGAAAAATATTTTCATCAGGTAGAGATCGTTCTCAATCACCACAAAATTCATCAGTAATAACAGATTCAAGTCAAGCAATAAAACGGCGTACAAATGCACAAGTAACACGAATGCTTTTAGCTGTTACATTATCATTAATTATATTTAATATTCCAAATATAATTATATTTCTTCTTACAAGGATTAATAATCCACGACAATTATTACATGGACGTTCATGTATTGAAGTTAGTGATAATGATATTAAATCATATAAAATTAGTTTTTATTCAACTGTTGTACAAGATATATTATCAGATTTACCACATATTATAAATTTTTTTCTTTATTATTTAGCTGGAAAAAAATTTCGAAATATTTTTCTACATGAAGTTAATCATTGTTTTATTAAATGTCATTTAATTAAACGAAAAAAACAAAGTCGTCTTATTCAAAATAGTAATCCTGAATTGAATAATCAAACAGGTTTCAATTCCAGTCAAAGACGAATATTATCTGGAAATACTTCATTAAAATCTCAAAAGACAACTAATGTATCATTTAATACTTTAACAAATAAATTAACTTTAAATGATGAAAAATCATAATATATGAAAATAATAAACTTTTTCAATCACATTGAACCTATATTTATTCCTTAATATATTAGATATTGTTTGTTTTTCGTTGTTTTGATCTATATGTAATACGATCTTAATTCGATGTTATTAGAGGTCTGATATTCGACCTTTTCTTTATTTATTTCAAATCAAAAAATGTTCTCATACACACGTGTACCGATATATACGTCACGGCTCACTGCACTTCCTCTTTCCTCTTCCTCTCTCTATTGTTCTGTCTATGTCGTCTCTCTCTCTGATTCTCTATCATATATAAGCTTGTGTTGAATGTGCAATAGATACATTCTGGACATGTGAAATAGCTAATAAATATCATTGTCCAGTAGCGACTAGCTACTCCTCCAGTCTGTCATAACATCTCTTTCTCATTTTATCGTTACATGTCGATCCTGGCGAGCGAATACATGCATATTCTGAAACGAAGTTAAAGATGCCAGAACAAAGAAGAATTCAAAATTATTGAACTTCCGTTGAAGATACAAGTGGACATCAAGGCACGGTAAATAATTTGAATGAGTGACGAATATATTCGGCAAGTAGAGGTGAATGACATGTCAGTGTTTTAAGTCCGTTGAGCACTGTCACAGACCATCAGTGAACGTACTAAAGGGCGGCTAAGCTTGCGGGCCGGCAGTGCGTAGGGTTAGCGCACTTTCTTTTGTAATATCTGTACGTTTCATGCCATTTCTCCTCGAATCTATGATTCGTTTCGCACATCATTCAAATTTATTTTCTCTGCCAAAAATAAAAAAAGAAGCGACGACAGAACAAATGGATATCGGTGAACATGAAATTAATTGTGTATCGGCCGTAAACAATTGATATTCATTCATCATCAATATTCGGTTCTTGTTGTGGGTGTGTGTGTGCGTGTGGCTGTCCTCGAAGAGGAGCACCACACCTGCACCCACACCCACACCCACCAATAAAACATAAATTTTAATCTACAACGATGTGAAGGGATTAACATAGGTTTTTTTAAATTTCGCTATCTTAATTGTTACAATCGGAAGTGCTTAAAATTGATAATGTATCTATTCATAGCTGTTTGATTAACACCACCATTAGCGACATAGCCACACAAAGAAGTCCAAGAGAATTATAATATGCCATGTTTCGTAGATAAAATATGATTAAAAGAAAAAAGGAAGCACAAAATGAAAAGGAAGACCGATAAAAGAAGAAAGAAAAGAATGAAAGAAAAACAAGGAAAAAGCGGATTACAGGATTTATTGCCGTGTGCTTAACTGCCCTTGTAAACATTTATTTACAAATACAATCTTTTATTTTTGACAAATTAAAGTATAACCTTTTTCTTATAGTAAATTATATGATTACGTTAGATAAATCTAATGATCACAATAGAAACCTTTATTTGAGATTTTCTGTGTCAAAGATTTGTTTTTCATGTCAAATATTCGTGAAGATATATTGAAATCTAATTATAGTTTGTAATCAATTTAATATATTGAAAGAATATTTTTCTATTTTTTGGCTCAAAGGTTTATTTGGGTGTGGGTCGCTTGGTGTGAGTGTGAATCTTCTCTCCATCTACACCCACACCCACACCATTTTATTTTTAACCATTTATTGATGATAGGTGTTGAAATTATTTTAGCCTAATAAAAAAGAAAGAGTTAAAATAAATAACCGTAGATATAATAAAACCTGTTCATTCCATAATGTTAATCTGATATGAGCACCATCTTGAGCAACATGAAGTTCCCGTCGAGTCCATGAATTACCATTTGTATTTCCTACTGTAATTCTATAATCTCTTAAGACTTTCATGTGAGCATCTATATAACATGATTGAGGATATAAATTATTCATATTTTTAAATTAGTTTCGATCTATAAATACTAACCAATTATTGAATTCAATGGTAATATTTCGATTTCATTCAAATGGATGAAATTATATGTCAATTGATAATTAAATGACATAATAATTTCTCGTACTTTAGTTGCCTTATTTACAATTAATTGATATGCATGAGGTAATTTTTTGTAAAGATTATCAACAGTTCGAATTGATAAATCATCGAATTCATATGACTATAAATATAAAATGGAAGAATATTTTATTTAGATATTTTACTACTTGTCCTTCAACTAATTTATTCGACATTATATATGAATCTAAACTAAATGCTACAAGATTGATAGCATCTGTATCATCAACCAAATCCCATGTTGATATTTCATCTTCACCAATTGAGTTACTATATGTTCGTTTTGGATGTTTACAACCAACAATTGCCCGTAGTTTCCATCTATATGATATGTAGAAAAGAATATAAAGCACAGGTTAAATATACTTTATCATGACAATTATAGAATAGCATATATAAATCAAATTTCAATGTAACACAAATTGTTTGATATATTTTAATCAAAAAAATAGCAAGTAAAGCATAAATCAAATTAGATTGATATCAAAAAAATTATCAAAAAAATTGTAAATAAAATATAGTTAATTAGAAAATCAACAACTTACGGAAAATCGATATCGGTATTAATCTGATCAATTTTTATTAAATTTGATTCATTAACTAGAATGAATATTGAATTCAGATCCTTGTCTTATGAATGGAAAATTAACAAACATTTAATTTTTGAAAAACCGACAAAACTCAAATATTTTTTTTTATATTTAATTTTATGAACGACCATAATAAATTTGATAATTTAAATATCACTAAGTCGTTATGCCATATTTAGATAAAACATTGATTCGAAACATTGAATAAAATTAGATTAATTACAGTTGTAATATTTTTTTTTGAGAATATGCTCAGTCTTACAATTATTCTATTTTATTTGTTCTTTCTTACATACTACATACTTGTTCGTATGTCCACGATGGTGGGTATGGGGTGTTAGTGCAAGTAAATGGGGAGATGATGCTCACTCACACCCTCCAACCACCCACACAGAACCATACCACACTCACTCACAGCAATACTCCACAGCCACACCCCACACCCTCGTAGTTTGGCGATTATTCTATATTACACACCCTTTGCTTTTAAGTTTTAACTTTTATTTCCGAAAAGCTTTAAAATTTAAAAATAATTGTGATTCTTTTACAAAAATTTGACGGTAGGTTATTGAGAGTCTAGTTGTCTATGGTTAACGCTCAATGGACTATTTCTATTTTGTAAATGGATTGATATGCAGCATATAATTTAATAGCCAAATTTACCTGATGAGGACCCTTGAGCAAGGTCGAAACCGATCGTAATATTGCTCGTGCTATTAAATTGCAATTCACTTGTTATACACACCATTGCCTTGTGAAGAATTTCTTCGAATTTGCAAGTTTTGAACTTGTAAACTTTGAAGATATATATCTTCTTTTGGATTTTTGTTCTTTTCTAAGATCCAGAATAGATATGCCATCTGATGAGTTCTTTAGCCAGGACGAAACCAATCATGGCAGCCACTTCACACCCACACCTACACCCTTTTGGGTACTAACTTTTCCTTATCTTTAGGTGAGCGTATTGGAAACAGAATATTTTTGCTCTTCTTTTCTTTTCGTTCGTTGTCTTTCACCTAGACACCTGCTTCTTTTCTTTTTCCACATACATCTTCACGTAGAAAAAAATAATCTGTGATATTATTACTGACCATCAATTTTTATACATAAAAATCAACAATTAATATGAATTTGTATCTCGTTCCTCTTATATTTATACTCATGATGCTATCTGTTGTATTGGGTATTATGCTTGCATATAGGTTATCTGGTCAACATTTCACTATAGCAATTGAACGACATACGTCTAACGATGGTCAAACCGCAAATCCTGAAAAAGCAAACAAAATTAGTTCAAGATTTAAACGATTCTTTGGTTTAACATCAAAATCTCAGCAACCTGTAATGTCTGTTAAAGGATTCAAAATAGGAATGTGTACGTTCAAATATGCTCATTTTCAATCAGATCCGGAAAAGATGATAACAAGTAATGAATCATTGACAACTGTTCCACCTGATGCATGTGTTGTCGAATATGAATCAGAAAATGAACAGAAAAAACGAGAACAACGACAGAAAGATCGAGATAGGATAAAACAAACTCGTGAAGAATTAAAAAACAAATATAATTCGCAGACTTCGTAATAATATATATCTATATTGTGTTTTGTTGTGATTGTATTTTTGTTTATATTTGTTCGAAGAGAAATCATGATTTCGCACAATGTAATGTTCTCTTAAATGATAATAAATACATTATTGCTTCTATTTACAGGTATTTTGTATTATCATCAAAATGGTTTTATACTACTTTTCAGAAATGTATGATTTTATAAAGAACAAAAGCGTCTCAGAATTAAAGAAATCATATACTTTTGCAATTTGTGCAGGTGATTGATCTTTGCACATGCATTTTTTTTCTTTTTTTGAATGAAATTTTAAGAACATTTAGCATCGTCCACTTTGCATTAGTAATTGCCAAGATCTATTCTGCCAGGCTTTTATTATAAAATCCGATATTCATTTGATCATAAGCTAAAAAATGAGAATAAGAGTGAAGACGATATCAAGACCAAAGTGAAGGATTCGGATGACATTGAGAACATATTTTAAATTTTTTTGAAGAAACAGTGATGATAGTATATTTATTGTTATTAATGAAGATTCAAAATTTCTCTAGAGGATAATTTAAAATATTTATGTCACCTGCAATTTATAATTGTTTATCGCGAATAAACGTGATCTATCTGGTAAATATACAAATAAATAGATAAATGCTGCTTCGAAAACATTTCTATTTTAATCGTTAGATTAAAACAAAAGACATCATAGCGTATACTTTGCGTCTCATAATGATATTTGATTGCTGTCAGAGGGATCGGACAGATACATGAAGACATCACAAGCAAAAATTATGATGTGAATATTTATCGTTCAGAAAAACTCTGAGTAAAAACCAGAGATTATTTCTTTTTATACAAGTCTATTGGCTTGTCTGTTTGACTAACAGAATGTTGGTTTGTCTTGTTTTTGTTGATAAATGACAGAATTAAAACTGAATTCTTTTATCTCTAAAGTATATCAATGTTTGCATTAAGTCTTAACAGTTCTGCAGAAATACATCTCCATCTTTCGCTGAAAGTTAAAACGTCATAGATTCTTCTCGATGAAATACACTTTATCTATGTTAATAACTAATACAACGTCTTTCTAACAGAAATAAAAGGTGTTAAAGTTACACTATTCATTGTTTTTTTACATAAAAGAACTTTGCTTTCGTTGTTATTCGATGTAAACGCTGATAAAAAAAAGTATGTTTGTCTTTCCTTTCAACATACTTCTTTTCTAAGATAAAGAACAATCTTTAAGACAATTACAAATACGTCTATATGGCGTCTGCGAAAATACTGACTCTAGTCCTTTTTTGCTCTCGTGAGGGTGAGGGTGAGGGTGAATGAGTTACCAGTACCTAGGTTTCGAACAGGTCCTCAGTCTGTTCATCATCAGGCAGTGGATTTCAACCTTATGATTCTTACGAAGAGAAACCAAAAAGATTGATTAAATACTTTGTTACCCAAAGGTAATAGTGGGTATGGGTGTGGGTGTGGGTGTGGGTGTGGATTTCGGTGTGGGTGTAGATGTGGCGTGTGGGGTGTGGCGTGTGGGGTGTAGGTATGGGTGTGAGTGTGATGTGGATGGGATATGGGGTGTAGGTTGGAGTGTGAGTATGGATGTGAGTATTGATGTGTATTTTGGTGCATATAGGATGTGGGTCTCTTCTTCAGTCTTTCTGATGCGGATACCCACTTAATTGCAGTCACATGCATGGTTACACCTATATTCATACTCATGAACATACCGAGGTTCTTAGACACGCACACACCTACATTCACCTGACACCCAAACCCACATAGCAAATTTTTATTCATATGCTTCGATTAATGGAGTGCTTTGTCAACCGAAAGTTGTTTCGCGGAAACGTTTTTTGACTAGGGACGTGTGCGGTGACAACATCATAAAGAGCAAGTACGATTTTCGGTAGAGGAAGTAGTAGCATTGTATGCTAGTCATTTCGAAAGTATTTTTTCACTTCATTAAGTTTGTTTAAGTAGTGGAATATATCATAGCAAATCAAATGCGTGTACTGTTATCGAGTTATATAATTAAGAAATCGAAAGAAAAATGAGAAAGGAAGAAAGAAAGGATGTACGCAAAATTTTACATTTCGCTTTCCGTTATATAAAACAAGCTCAAAAATAGCAGAAGGAACCAATTGGCTGAAACGTGAGTATTATTAGTTTGGTCTCAATTTTTTTACGTTTGTGTTATACAGTCAAACGATTCCTGTTGACGAAGAATTCGATCTTTGCGAACAAATTCCTTTCTAGAAAAATTATTTTCGAAGAAGCTTTAGTTCAATCAGCAGAACTATTCAGTAAGATTTTTGCCATTTTTAAAGGGCGGGGGATATTTAGCCTTGATATCGGCTCCTATAGAAAACATAAGCAGTTTCACATGAAACTTTCAGCAATTATAGGGCTCAGGGTCAGTAGTCATTCCTATAAAGTTTCAGCTTGATCGGTCAAGCTTTTCCCTTACTGTGATACTCAGCCAGATAGACCCTATTGAGCCTTCTATGGGTCAAGAATCATTCGTTTTAGAAGATATATGTGAGACGTGGCCGGATTCCATGAAATCAGAACTCTTGGGGAATCCTGGGAACTCTTGAAACCCTAGGAACTGTTGGAGCCCTAGGAACTCGTGGAACTCTGAATCTCTTAGAACTCTTGAAACTCTGGGAACTCTTGGAACCCTAGGAACTCTTGAAGCTACTGGAACGCTAGGAACTCTTAGAACTCTGGGAACTCTTGGAACAAGAGGGTGTGGGTGTGGGTGAGGGTGTGGGTATGGGTGTGGGTGTGGGTGTGGGTGTGGGTGTGGGTGTGGGTGTGTGGGTGTGGGTGTGTGAGTGTAGGTGTGGGTGTGTAGGTGTGGGTGTGGGTGTGAGTGTGGATGTGTGGGTGTGAATTTAAGCAAGGAAAAGACAGTCACACCCACACCCACACCCACCCACACCCATACACCCACATCCACCCTCTGACGGCGGCCTTGAGTAGGAGCTTCTTTCAAGCATGGTATTCTGAATGCAGATCAGATCTTATATGGTGTATTTTAAGCTAGAAGTTCAGCTAAACCCGTGTTTTCCTAGCCGACGCTCCATTAAATAACGTTGTTGGCTGATGTGTTAGTAAGCGTATGGATTTTTAGTATAAATTTCAAAGAATATGACGCGTTTTCACAATATTGTCGCGTATGAATTTTGGTCCGTGATCTCTCAGAAAATT